TTCGGTTGGAAGTCTTTTTTGTCAGATATTAAAATGGCTATACCAGCTTGCTTCTTAGGTCTATTTTTTAAAACTGTCTTTTTCCCCCTCCTTTTACCCTGAGGTGATACCCATTCTTGATATTAAGGTGTGTTTCTTGTATGCAGTAGAAGGCTGGATCCTGGTTTTGCATCCACTCCATTAGTCTGTGTGTTTTCATTGGGAAATCGAGACCACTGATGTTGAAAATTAGCAACAAATAGTGTTTGTTGTCTCCTGTTATTTTGTTGTGGTGGTGTGTCTTTTCCCTTCCTTTTGATTTGCTGGTCTGGGATTATTTATTCCTTGTATTTTCTTGGGTGTGGTTTATCTCTTTCTACCTCTTCAAGTTGAAGATTTCCTTCTAGCACCTTCTTTAGAGCTGTATTGGTAGCTTAAATCTGTTTTTTTTTAAATCGTGGGATATCTTATTTTCTCCATCTATTGTTACTGAAGTTTTTGCTAAATATATAGTAGTCTTGGCTGACATTATGGTCTCACAGCTTTTTGGACATGTGTCCAGGCCTTCTGGCTTTTAGAGTCTCCATTGAAAAGTCAGGTGTTATCGTAATAGGTCTGCCTTTATATGTTACTTGGTCTTTTTTTTCCCTTGCAGTTTTTAATATTTCTTCTTTTTTCTGTACGTTTAGTATTTTGATTACTATGTGTTGAGGGGGCTTTCTTTTCTGGTCCAGTCTATCTGATGGTTTGAATGCTCGGTAGCCATTTTAATTTTTAGGTTATAGAAATTTTCTTCAATGCTATTGTTGAAAATATTTCGGTGCCTTTGACCTGGAGATCTCCTTCCTCTATTCCTATTATTTTTAGATTCAGACTTTTCATCAAATCTCTAATTTTCTGGATGTTTTATGCCAGGATTTTTTTTTTTTAGATTTAACATTTTCATTTCCAGTTTTACGTCAGTGTGGGATTCTTTTGTGATTCCATTTCCACTCTTCTATGTCTTGAACTGTGTTCTTCATTTTGGTCCACTGTTTGTGTCTTCATAGATTTCATTAGTGGCTATATTTCTATCCTCTTTAAGGTCCTTGAACATAATCATAATAGGTGTTTTGAAGACCCTGTCTTACTCTTCAGCTTATATTGTTTTTCTCAGGGCCTACTTGTTAGCGTTGCTAGGCTTGAGTGGACACATGTTGTCGTCATTGTTGCTGTGTTTTCATGCTGGTGCCTAGGCATCTGGGTTTGGGATGATTTTGGAATTCTAGTTGTTGATGTCTAGGTTGGGTAGGTTTTCCCTTTTTTGCTTTAAGTTGCCCTCTCTTTAAGTGTACCAGATATGGGTTGCCAAAAGAGTGTTTCTGAGTCCCTGACATGTGCAGCTCCTTGTCTCCTAGGTAGAAGATGTTTCTAGGTATTGGGAGCTGGCAGGAAGGAATGGGGATGGGATGTAAGAGAAGGGGGGACTGAGAGGGTCCATATGAGGGAGGGAAGCTGGGTATGCCATGAGTGTCTGTGGAGTCCTCCGGGAATGGGGGAAGAGAAGGAAGACCTCCTGGTAAGGGTGTTCTGCTGTGGTGCTGGGGATTAGAGAAGAAGGACAGGAAGAACAGTTAAGATGTTTCCCAGGCCATTGAGGACCGGGTAAGGAGAGAGAGAGAGAGAGAGAGAGAGAGAGAGAGAGAGAGAGAGAGAGAATGAGAATGTTCAGGTGTTGGGACCTGCCAGTGTCAAAGGAATGAGGTGAGGGAGGAAGGCTATCGGAAACCATCCCTGGCAGTAGGGACAGAGAGAAAGGGGAGAGGCCACAGCATCCGGTCTGCCACAAAGGTGGGATAAGACAGGAGCTGGAATTGCAGCATGGGAAGGAAACTGAAGCTTGTTCACCTGACTCCCTGCCCAGCATGGCCAGTGATTTTCCTGAGATGGCAAGCCTCCAATGTTAACTAATATTGTTCTATAGAGATAATTTTAATGAGAAAAGAAATGTTATCTGTCTTGGTTGCACTGACCCCTGTGCTTATTCACTATGCTCGAAATACTCAGTTCACGTTGGCAGAAGTTGTGAAAACTGCTAGCACTCTAGACTATATTTGAGTTTTGACATACTGTCTCCCTTTATAAGAAAAAATACTTTTATTTATCTTTGCATCCTGTTCTTAAATTGATAAATAGCACAAAATAACCATATATCAGATGTTAATCTCACAAATAAACGAGCTAATTAACAACTAAAAATACATAAAATTCCGATTCTGTTGATGAGGGAATAACTGCTTTGAATTAAATCATCATTTATCCACTTACTAATGAAAATTGTGCTATGTGAAGCTAAAATTGAAGTTGTGAAAAACCGAGCATCGTTAGCATCGTCTTTCAGTGACGTTTACACCGTCCAGGGAACCACTGTGTCGAATTTTCTGCTCCTTCCAGCAGCGTGTTTTCTTTCATTTTTCTTCTTCTTTTTAGGATTTCCTACACGATTGCACGATTTACATAATTCCCACCTCTTCCTTCTCCCCTCCCCTCCAACTCTTTCTATGCCTGCCCCCACAATAATTAATGATTTCTTCTTCTGTAAAGTATGCTAGTGTTTTTTTTCTCTCTCTCAAACACAAACACACCCTCTATTGAAGGAAATTAATGTTGCTTGTGTATACATGTGTTTAGACTGACCAATTACAATTGGATAACCTATTCCTAGAGAAAACTGATTTATGCATTCCTCATTAGTTTCCTCTATTCATATTTCCATGAGAATTTTGGGTGAAAGTAAAGCCAATTTTTTTTTATTTTTTCCCTTCTGGATAAGAAAACTAGATAAGGCCAGACTGTGGTGATACACACCCTTAATCCCAGCACTCAGGAGGCAGAGGCAAGAGGATCTCTGAGTTTGTTGTCAACCTGATCTACAAAGTGAGTTCCAGGACAGCCAGGACTGCATAGAAAATTCTGTCTCAAACCCACCCCCCACAAAAAAAAGGAAGAAAGAATGAAGGAGGAAGAGGAGAAGGAGGAGGAGAAGAAGGAGAAGAGGAAAAGAAAGAAGAAGAGGAAGAAAGACACTAAGCTAGATAATTAAAGAGCCAAAATGACTGGCGTGGTAATACATGATAGCCCCATGGAGGAGCTAAAGCAGAAAGATGGTGAGATTTAAGTCAGTGTGGGCTGCATAATGAGACCCTATAACAAAACAAAACCAGCAAAAACAAGGACTTGGTAGATAGCTCAGTGCATGGACTATTATGCTTTTATGTGTGTTGTGCATACATTTCACTGTGTCCTCAGAATCTAAGCCCATTTCCTAGTACATTTAGTACTCAAAAAACACTAAATAACTCCATTCATATAAAAACTTCCATGTCTTTCTGGAAGGTCATTTAAATGTTTGTGTTGTGAACTCCTAATGTGCTTCCCATAAAAAATTAGCATTAAATGTGGACATTTGCCATATCTACTAAGATACTAATAGATCACCCCTGTGCTCTATGGGAATTGTAATTTTTTTCCGGAGGCTCTAGAATCTACTTTACTGCAGTGACCCAAAGTTGAACCAAGAGGAAGCACATACTTCAAAACTGCATGTTTCTATTTTTTTTTAATTGAAATGGCCAGCGGCTTTTCATTATTTTGATGAATTTCCACAAAATTGTTCTCAGTCGAAGTTACTGATTTACATTCAACCTAGGAGTTTATTAGGCCACACAGCACAGCAGTTATCAATGAGAACGTCAGGTGTTAGAAACCATAGTTTGAGACTTGGGGCTGTGACCTACTCCCTGTGACCGGAGATAAGTTGGCTACCTAGCTGAAGTATTCGAGCCCCTGCTTTCTCATCTGTGTGACAGAGAACAGCACCTTCCTGGGAGCTATGTAAGCAGAAGATGAAGCAGCGTGTGTATAATTCTTGGTTGTTGTTGATGTAAGATGAGCTAATGAATGTTAGGTGACTTTTATGCTACGGTTGGCCTTGTAGCAGACACACTTTTCTTCCTAGGAATTCTGTTTTAAACAAAGTTGGCGATAAAGAAGACTATTGGGGTTCAGAGCAGTTTAGTGATTCTAAGTCCCAGAGATGGTGAGAGGCAGAACCAGAGCCTGGCCTCCGTGTCTCTAAAATCAATTTGCTTCTTTTCTTCACAGCCCTAGTTCTTAAGAAAAACACTCAGCCAATTTCCATGGGGCCAAAATAGTCTGTTCAAGACTGAATGAACATAATTCTTTCCAAATGGTTGTTTTAGACTCCTGGAGACTGAAGTAAACGTTCAGAGATATACAGATTGGTGAGCAGGCCTAGAAAAGTGTGGAGAAGCCTTGATGTTTCCAGGCATAGTACATGTTTTGTTTAGAGCCACCAGGGGGATTAGGAATTAAATCCTAGACATAGTACTCTAGATACGATCTGTACAATCAGACATCCCTGTCCTTGCAGAGTTGTCCCGCTTTCCCCTGTGACAGTTTTCAGTTTGGGGTGGGGGTGGGGTTATTGGGCAGGTCTAGAGCACCTCAGCTGTGCTGAGCTGGGACTTCATCATTATCCGCTCACTCTTTTTCTGGGACGACGACTGCCTTAGTAAGGCACAGTAGGGTCTCAGCTGCTTAGAGGTGGCAGCCTGGATTAAGGGGGAGAATGACCAAGAGACAGTCATTTCAACAACCGAGATGTCTAGCCCTTACCCACTTAATGGATCCATTCCTTCTCAACCTTTGCCCTAGGGCCGGTGCTACCTATTACTACTAGCTCAGCATTAGGTGTCCTATCTGCCACTACTCTTTTTCCTAAATTTTGTTTAATAAATCCAAGGGCCTTGCATTAGAAAAACAAAACTAAATTTCTGAAAGAATGGATATATCCATATAGAACTGACTTTTAAAAAAATGTCCTTATAATATATATATGGACAACTAGTTGAACAAACCATGTGTGTGTGTGTGTGTGTGTGTGTGTGTGTGTGTGTGTGTGTGTATACATTAAGGATAGAGATACTATGAAATTGACCCATCTCTTTCATGTTTTTCAGATAGACCATATGGTGCAGGGCCATGCTGCCTTTCCTGAACTACAAGCCAAGGCCACGGCCAGGTAACTCCTCCAACTGTTCTCCCTGTGACCTTTCTTCGTAGATGTACGAGTGACATTCATTTTCAGAAGTTGTATGATTTTCAGAGCTTATGAACAATGCAAATGCTTGGCAGTACTTAAGATGATCATCCAGATGGTTTTGAAAATACATTTGTTAAGTTGGTTTTAGAACGATCTAAGAAAACTCAGAGAAACTACTCCCACACACAGATTGTGTGGATGAGCAACCCTGATGGAGATGGCTGTGCGTGGATTTGGGAGTCATGACTTCTTGGGTGTGCACCCCGGCATTACACCTGTGCAGATGTGTGGTCTTGCACAAGTGATTCAACCCCCGACTTCATCTGTGAAATTAAAAATAGTGGCTAGTATGCATTGGCTTCTGAGATATAGTAAGTAAAATCAAGTGCAAAGGAGTAACAGAAAAATCTATGTGTGTGTACTCATTTGTGCAAAAGAACTGCAGGAAAATTAAATTAGAAAACAACAAGGTTGGTTGCTCATAGAGGCTGTATAGGAAGGGGATGGAAAAATGGAATTGGGAGCATGATGGTAAAAGAAAATATTTCTGAATATTTGTTTCTGTATAAATCTCTCTCGCAGAACCATGGGAGGCCTCATAGCCCCATAACATGTTCAGAGGAAGAAATGTAGATGATATATAGATAGTTGATAGATGGTTGATTAGGCACATAGATACAAAAATAGATACATAGATATATAGATAAATAAGTAGATAGGTAGATAGATGGTAGATAGTTGATGGATAGTTAATTAGATATACAAATAATAATAATAAAGATAGATAGATGATAAGTAGATATGTAGATAGATGGTAGATAATTGATGAATACTTGGTTAGATATACAAATGATAGATAGATAGATAGATAGATAGATAGATAGATAGATAGATAGAT